TATGACTTATGGCCCTTAGGAGCAGCCTTCAATGGTGCCGAGGGCTCTCTCCAATGTGCCCCTGTCTACTACTCTCCCAAATAAGTACTCTCCTGGGCATCTACCCTGTGTCTTTTAGACGTGTGCCCACCATCGCCACCCTGGTTGGCCCTAGCTTCACCCGCTGGACTCACGGAACCTGGCTGTTTGGACATTGCCTCCTAGGGCATGGGGCTCGTGTGTGAAGGCATATACCCAGGACAGCCCTTGATTCAGTGTCTGGGGTGGCTCCTTCCTGTTTTGTGGGCAAAAGTCTTCTCTGCGCTAGCCTGCAGACCATGCAGGACAGGCCACAGGGACCCTGATAGCAGTCAGGCGCAGCCCCATGTCGTGTCCGTGGAGCTTGGCCCATGTCCCCCTCTCCTGTGGAAGGGCACTGGTCCTCCTTTGTGCGTGCCTCTCTCCTTCGTGACTGAGGCCATGCCCCTGTGCCAGGGCCACTATGTTGTGCCTGTGTCTGCCAATGGATGGGCCCTGCCTTGACCCCACAATGTGGATGCCTGTGAAGAACATGCTGCATGTTGCTGTCCTCACTGAGGATCCCTGTCCCTGATGCAGGAGTCCCTTTTGAGGGCAGTGGTGAGATATTTTCCCTGCAGTGATGAGGACTCAACAAGGTGGACATGTAGAGGTTGTCTGATTGATGGCACCTGTTCCTGGAGGCCGTGCCCACTAAGCACAATAGCCAGGGACATTCCAGGTCCTTTGGCAGTAGTGCACCCTGAATTCCGTCAACTGTTGCACTGGCTCTAGGTGGGGCATGGGAACCACTTGCCTAGGTCTGTTTTGCTTGCACACCAAGAGCCATGTTGTTGAGTGAGCGGGATGGGTCGCCTGGCCGACCTTCGCATAGCTACCTTACATCAGTAGACTTTGTGGAGGCCTGAGGCATGCAGCCAGCCCTGGAGGCCTAACAGCCTGCACCATGGTCATTGATTTGCCACATGATTACTGAGATTTCATGCTGCATCTGACCCCAATGGATTGACCTAGTCCACAACATCGCTTCGACAGTCAAAAGTGGATTTTTGGAGGAGAGTTGTTTTCCTGTGCGTTGCCAGAGGGCTTTGGACACATGGTGTCTCAGGCAATTGTAACCAGGGTCAATTGTGTCATTTTGTGCCATTGCATGGCAGGGTCTGAGGCCATGGATCCCTGTATGGGCCATGTGCTTTGTGGAGGTGACTCCATACGTGAGCACCTGTGCCACGGCCACCCAGCCTGCCAGCCTACCCTGCACACGCACACACGCTCACACCTGCTAATAAACCCAAGAATCACACGGAAGCACACACACTCTAACCCACCCACAGAGGGTCCCTCATACACAGGCACACACACACCCCACTCATGGAACATGGCCTTACCAGACACATTGCCATGCACTCACACAGAAATTCCTAGACACACATGAGACAGAGGCATATCCCCATGCATGGACTTACCATAGACAATGGCATCTCACCCATGTGCAGCCAGCCCTTTGGGATAGAGGGACAGCACAGGCAGATGCAAGGCATCCCCACAGAACTATTTGGAACGCTCTGGCCAGCTGAACACCTGGGTGCATTTGTGATACCTTGGTGTGTTTTCTCCACCCTTCCATAGGTGCGGAGGCCAAGCCAGGCTTGCCGTCTGCCCAGAGAAGAAATCCTTCCTTTCCTTGCAGGTGCAATGGGTTATGGCAGGACCTATGGAAGATGATTGGTCTAGGGTGGGGAGCCTATGCATGGATGGCTATGCAGGTAAGCCTTTCATTGTCTCAAATTGAGCAAAAGGGCATAGAAGGTCCTGGGCCAATCTGCAGGCCTGCCACTTGGCTTGTGCCTCGTAGTGAGGGGCAATGGCTCCCTAAGAGGATTGCCTGTGACTCTTGCTCAGGGGCATAGCTCTGGATGGTCTCCAGGGTACTGGGGGGGGTGCTGAGGCCACGGGGAGTCCCCATGAGCCATCCAGCCTGCATGTTCAATTTGCCAGGCATTCCAGAAAGTGCTCAGATCGATGATGACTCCCTCAATCTTCATTTCTTGGAAAAGCTGAACAAAATGTGTGAGAACTCCCTACTATCGTTCTCATCAAAACTGAAGTCCAGTACATTGTCTTCCCCAGGGAAGGTAGGAGTGGGGGAGAGCTTCACCTTGGCCGTGCCTCTCACTCAACCACCACCACCACCAGCACCACCACTTAAGGGCCTTGGGATCGGAGAGTCTCGGGGAATCCTGAGGGCCCAGGAGGTGTGTGCCCTCCTTGGGTGGGAGTCCACAGCATGGAGTCCATGGCATGGCTGGGCTTTGGAGGTGTGTCGGACAGCCAGTAGCCAAGAGGTAGGAGTCACATTGAGCATTGTTGGCACAGCCTTGAGAGCGTCTGTCCAGAGGAAGTCGGCCAGGCCAATGATTGAGGTAGATCTCCTGGCGGTATATGTGGAGCCACACTTTCAGGGCCAGGCACTGTGTATTTGGAGATGGGCCTCCGATGGGCAAGCAGCGATATTTACCCACGTCCTCTGTCCCAGGTTTGACAACTGAGCGCTACATAGGGATGCAGGAAGATGCCAAAAGCACCAGAAAGGACCACTGCCCTTGACAGCACCTGAATGTCTCTTAGGCCAGAGAGGCACACATACAAACACACACACATACACACACAGACACGCACACACCACACATGCATGGTGATCTGGCAGAGCTCGTACTACATGCTCAGGCCAGGAGTGTTGATGCTCTGCTGGCCAATGGCCTGCATGGGAATGGCAGGGCCTGGGGAGGACTGCAGGACCGGTGGGTGCAAGCAGCCGGCAGCCTCCATATACTTGGGTGGTGTTGCGACACTAACAGGTCAGTGCTTGGTGAGTGTTGTGAGGCCCTACTACCTACCCACCAGGGTGCGACTTATCGGCCCTAAGGGGACACGTGGAGATGGTGCCAAGGGCTCTGTCTGATGTGCCCCTAGCCACTACTTTCCCGAGGAAGGGCTCTCCCAGGTGTCTCCTCTGAATCTGTGAGATGTATGCTGGCCATCCACCCTGGCCGGCTCTCACTTTGTCAGGTGGCCTTGCAGATCCTGGCTGTGGGGATCATGACTCCTAGAGGACAGGGCTCTTGTGTGAAGGCTTCCAGCATGGGCGACCCTTGATTCAATGCCTGCGGTGGCACCTTCCTGTTTTGTGGGCACAAGACTTCTCTGGGCTAGCCTGCAGGCTGTGTGGGTAAGGCTCTGGGCCCTGATAGCAGTCAGGCACAGCCCTGTGTCGTGGCTCATGTCTTGCTCTCCTTGGGAAGGGCACTGGTCCTCCTTTGTGTGTGCCACTCTCCTATGGGACTGTGGCCATGCGCCTATGTCAGAGCCACTGTGTTGTGCCTGTAACTCTGACAAGAGGCCCTATCTTAGGTCCCACAATGTGGATGCCTGTGACGAGCACACCATGTGTGATTGTCCTCGCTGAGGATCCCAGCCCCCGATGTGGGAGTCCCTTTCGAGGGCAGCAGTGCAAGACTTTCCCTACAGTGATGAGGATTCAAGGACATGGACGTGGGCAAGGTAGCCCAAGTGATGGCATGTGTCCTGGAGGCTATGCCCATGAAGCACGCTGGCCATGGACACACCAGTTTCCTTGGCAGTAGCATGTCCTGCATTCCATTGGCTGTTTTACTGGCTCTCGGCAGGGCGTGGGCACCGCTTGTTTAGGACTGTTCCACCCACAGTCCAAGGGCCATATGGTAGAGTGGGCACGACAGGTTGCCTGTCCTCATGGCGTCACCTCAGGCCTGTCTTCATGTGGTCACCTTGCCTCAGTAGGGCTTTGTGGAGGCCTGGGGCCTCCAGCCAGTGCCCAAGGGCTGCTGGGCCTGCACGGGGGCTCCTTGCCTTGCCCTGTGGTCGCTGAGGTTTTGGGCAGCTCTCTGGCCCCTGGTCATCTAGCGAGGCACCTAGTCCACGTCGACGTCGCTTCAGTGGTCCTAAGTGGGTTTGTAGAGAAGAGTCCATGCGCTGTGCATTGCCAGAGGGCTTTGGATACGTGGTGTCTCAGGCCTTTGTAGCCTCCCTCAGGGTCAAACGCATCATCTCATGCCTTTGCATGGCAGGGCGTGAGGCCAGGGTTCCACATACGGGCCATGCGGTTTTAAGTGATGACTTCCACATGTGAGCACCTCTGCTCCAGCCAGCTAGTCTGCCAGCCTGTCCTGCACACGCCCACATGCACACACCTGCTAGTAAACACATAGATAACACTCTTGCACACACACCCAAACATACCCATAGAGGGCCCCTCACTCACAGACTCATGCACACCCCCACTCACAGCACGTGGCACTTATCAGGCACATTGCTCATGGAAATTCCTCGACACACATGAAATAGCCACATCTCTGTGTGTGGGCTGACCTGGGCCTGTGACATTTCACCCATGTGCAGCCAGTCCTGTGGGACAGAGGAACAGCACAGGCAGGTGCTAGGCTTCCACATGGATCTGTTCTTTCTGATCTCACCACCTCTGGGTATGTTTATCATTTGTGAGTGCAATTTTCCCAAATTTTCAGGTGTTGTGTCATCGCCAGCCTCACTTCGGCTCAGAATAGAAAGCCTTCTTCTCCTTGGAGGAGTGGAGTGAGGTTGGCCTCACCAGGTTAGCTGCCCAGGTTGGGCAGATTCCACATGGATCGGTAAGAAGGTAAACTTCTTTTGTCTTAGAGTGAGCCTTTGGGCAAGGAAATCTTGTGCTTGCCTGAGGGCCTTCTGACTGGTGTGTTATCCTGACATGTAGGGTTTAGCTCCCCAAGATGATATCCTGTTCCCCCCTCTTGCTCATAGTCATGTCCTTGGATTGTCTCCCAAGTCTGGAGGTCCCTGTGGTCATGCGTCCTTCCCAGGTCCTCCTTGATGTGGCAGGACAATAGTTCCTCCCAAGGGTGAGCATGTCTGCACTAATGGGCTGTCCCAGCCAGACCCCACAGGTGGTCACATCCATGATGACTCCAACATGTGCATTCCTTGGAAAGCTGTACATAGTGAATGAGGAATCCTTTACTATTGTCCTCATGGAAGCTGAGGTCTAGCTCGAGATCCCAGCCAGGGAGATACAGTGAGGGACAGGTGCCGAGGTCAGGGTCACCCACAGCCTAGAGGAGGGTGCACAGGGCTGGAAATTGGCCCTGAAGCAGAGATGTGATTCGGGCACAGGGATACCCTGTCCCTGCCCCCAGGGGATGCCCTGGGTGGGGTAGCATGGGTGGTGCAGGGGCACCAGCACACCCTGCAGCCTGTGGAGGGCGAGTGAGACACAGGTCACCTGTCTGTCTTCCACCGTTCTTGCTGCCTGTCAGCCATTGAAGTCTTCCTCCCAAGGTTTCTTTCCTTTTCTGCTTTAGGGTATCAAGTGTTGTATGGCTTAGGGAAGTGGTCTTTGCAGAGGACATACATTGTTTCCTCCATATCTTGTCAGTGGTTTGGCTCCGTACTTTGTGTTTTTTTGCTAAGTTCTGTGGTCTTCAGGTTTCTGGTATTTTCCTGAGCCTGTTAGCCTTCCTGAGAGCCTTTAGTCATAGGTCCTTTCCTTTCCTCTTATTTCTTCACCCCCCCAAGAAATTTCATTTTTTCACTCTATTTTCTTCTATACCCACTTTGTTAGAAGTATATGATAAAGGATGCTTTATTTTTGTTTTTTTATGCTACTTATGTTATAGTATTTGCTATTTTCCTTCCTCTTCTTTTTCTGTGTATCCTTTATATTACTTGTGATGTATGTTTCTTTTTTTCATGACTCATACCTGATATTGTCTATTAGAAATAGTGCACATTTCAGTGTTTCAGACTTTATTTTGCATTTTCATTTTGTATTTCTGCTTCATATAATATTTTTATATGAGTGCGTTTCAAGTTCATTTTATCTTATCATTGATCTACCCCAATTATGTATTGTGAATGATTCAATGGAATTATATCTTTTTATAGATTGGTTTTCATCAATCAATTGGCATTAGAATTTTCTAGTACTTTTCTATATTTATTTTTTAGAAAGGAAGATATTGTGCCCTGCTTGTCATATTAATCGTGCTTTCAAATGGCTCTTGCCCTGTTACGATGAGCATCCTCTTTCACTTGCTAATGCTCTTGTGCTACCATTTTTGGTCATTGCAATCTCATGGGTTTGTGGCCATATTCTTTTTCAAGCATAATTCTTTTGAAACACACCTGAGATTGTCTGTCTAAAACATCAAGTTTGTAGTTGGAACAATATATACATTATGGGCTTTTTTGTTTGTTTCCATAGAAGGTAGAGGATTTTATTGAAGGTGTCTCTCTTATATTTAGCTCATACAATGTTCCACAATTCATGTCCCTGCACTATTAGTCACTAATCTTCAGATATATGATCAACTTCATGTGGATCAGTGCCTCCTATGGTAACAGAATCCTGAATGCTCACTGCCTACCAGGTATCACATTCTGATGGTCCATTTTATAATTGTTGTGGGATAAATGATGACTCCACAAAGGGATCTTGTTGGAAAATGGACAGAGTGAATAATGAAAATCACTTCTGTGAGCTGAGATCCAGCCCATAGATCATACTAAGCAAAACTGTGGAGGGGAATTCAGCATGGTCAGCAAATGCTCCCAAAAAAGTACTATGGTAGTGGAAAAATAACATGCTGGCATATGCTAGAGGAAACAAATTGTAGAAAGGTCTATATAACCAATTATGGGATGATATTACAATTCTTGGCTGCCAATATGTACATATATGTCATAAATAGACCTTGGGAAACCACTCCTTAAATAATGAGTCCTATGTGACTACACTTGAGCTATTTACATGTTTGAGCTACTGTAATTTTCTGAGTGATGATCAGTGTCTTTAGTGTGATTAGATTGTAAAAATACAAAGATATGGAATTTTACTTATCATTTTCTATTAAGTGGAACAATTGTATAGAAATTGAAAAGTAATAGGTGGAAAAATTAGAGAGGGTGACAAAGCATGAGAGACTCCTAACTCTGGGAAATGAACAAAGGGTGGTGGAGGAGAAGGTAGGTGGAGGTGTGGGGTGACTGTGTCACGTGGGCTGAGGAGGGCCCTTGATGGGATGAGCACTGGATGTTATACTATATATTAGCAAATTGAACTTAATTTTTAAAAATTGAAAAGTAGATGCTCTATGTGAAATCTTCACTGTCTATTTCAATTTGCTTTCCAATGCAGTCACTATGATTAGAACAATTGTTTACACATTGTTTTGTTTTTTATCCATAGTATGAGCAAGAAATTTCATATACTCTTCAACAATGTCTTCTATTACATGCTAAATATTTTTAGATGTGAGATGATTGTATTTAAAATTCTTCGATTCTTATTGTAGTAAGAGATGAAGAGGGACACTATATCATACTTAAAGGATCTATCGAAGAAGAGGACTTAACAATCATCAGTATATATGCCCCGAATGTGGGAGCTGTCAAATATATCAATCAATTAATAACCAAAGTTAAGACATAGTTAGATAATAACACACTTATACTTGGTGACTTCAATCTAGCGCTTTCTACACTTGATAGGTCTTCTAAGCACAACATCTCCAAAGAAACAAGAGGTTTAAATGATACACTTGACCAGATGTATTTCACAGATATTTAGAGAACTTTATATCCAAACGCAACTGAATACACATTCTTCTCAAGTGCACATGGAACTTTCTCCAGAATAGACCACATATTGGGTCACAAATCGAGTCTGAAGTGAACCAAAAGATTGGGATCGTCCCCTGCATATTCTCAAACCATAATGCCTTGAAATTAAAACTAAATCACAAGAAGAAGTTTGGAAAGATTTCAAACAGGGGAGGTTAAGGACCATCCTGCTGAAAGATGAAAGGGTCAACCAGAAAATTAGAGAAGAATTAAAAAGATTAATGGAAACTAATGAGAACGGAGATACAACCATTCAAAATCTTTGGGATAGAGCAAAAGCAGTCCTGAGGGGAAAATACATCACAATATAAGCATCCCTCCAAAAACTGGAAAGAACTCAAATACAAAAGCTAACCTTACACCTAAAGTAGAAAAAACAGCAAATAGATCCTACACCCAGCAGAAGAAGAGAGTTAATAAAGATTCAAGCAGAACTCAATGAAATCGAGACCAGAAGAACTGTGGAATAGATCAACAAAACCAGGAGTTGGTTCTTTGAAAGAAATAATAAGATACATAAACCATTAGCCAGCCTTATTAAAAAGAAGAGAGAGAAGACTCAAATTAATAAAATCATGAATGAGAAAGGAGAGATCACTACCAACACCAAGGAAATGCAAACGATTTTAAAAAACATATTATGAACAGCTATATGCCAATAAACTAGGCAATCTAGAAGAAATGGACGCATTCCTGGAAAGCCACAAACTACCAAAACTGGAACTGGAAGAAATAGAAAACCTGAACAGGCCAATAACCAGGGAGGAAATTGAAGCAGTCATCAAAAACCTCCCAAGACACAAAAGTCCAGGGCCAGATGGCTTCCCAGGGGAATTCTATCAAACGTTTAAAGAAGAAACCATACCTATTCTACTAAAGCTGTTGGGAAAGATAGAAAGAGATGGAGTACTTCCAAATTCATTCTATGAGGCCAGCATCACCTTAATTCCAAAACCAGACAAAGACCCCACCAAAAATGAGAATTATAGACCAATATCCCTGATGAACATGGATGCAAAAATTCTCAAGAAGATACTAGCCAATAGGATCCAACAGTACATTAAGAAGATTATTCACCATGACCAAGTAGGATTTATCCCCAGGTTGCAAGTCTGGTTCAACACTCGTAAAACAATCAGTGTGATTCATCATATCAGCAAGAGAAAAATCAAGAACCATATGATCCTCTCAAGAGATGGAGAGAAAGCATTTGACAAAATACAGCATCCATTCCTGATCAAAACTCTTCAGAGTGTAGGGATACAGGGAACATTCCTTGACATCTTAAAAGCCATCTACGAAAAGCCCACAGCAAATATCATTCTCAATGGGGAAGCACTGGGAGCCTTTCCCCTAAGATCAGGAACACAACAGGGATGTCCACTCTCACCACTGCTATTCAACATAGTACTAGAAGTCCTAGCCTCAGCAATCAGACAACAAAAAGACATTAAACGCATTCAAATTGGCAAAGAAGAAGTCAAACTCTCCCTCTTCGCCGATGACATGATACTCTACATAGAAAACCCAAAAGCCTCCACCCCAAGATTGCTAGAACTCATACAGCAATTTGGCAGTGTGGCAGGATACAAAATCAATGTCCAGAAATCAGTGGCATTTCTCTACACTAGCAATGTGACTGAAGAAAGAAATTAAGGAGTCAATCTCATTTACAATTGCACCGAAAAGCATGATATCTAGGAATAAACCAACCAAAGAGGTAAAGGATCTATACCCTAAAAACTGCAGAACACTTCTGAAAGAAATTGAGGAAGACACAAAGAGATGGAAAAATACTCCATGTGCATGGATCAGAAGAATTAATATTGTGAAAATGTCAATGTTACCCAGGGCAATTTACACGTTTAATGTAATCCCTATCAAAATATCATGGACTTTCTTCAGAGAGTTAGAACAAATTATTTTAAGATTTGTGTGGAATCAGAAAAGACCCCAAATAGCCAGGGGAATTTTAAATAAGGAAACCATATCTGGGGGCATCACAATGCCAGATTTCAGGTTGTACTACAAAGCTGTGGTCATCAAGACAGTGTGGTACTGGCACAAAACAGACTCATAGATCAATGGAACAGAATAGAGAACCCAGAAGTGGACCCTCAACTTTATGGTCAACTAATATTCAATAAAAGAGGAAAGACTATCCACTGGAAAAAAAATAGTGAATGGGAATAAAGGGGAAAGGAGAAAAAATAAGTGAGAAATATCAAAAAGGGAGACAGAACATGAAGGTCTCCTAACTCTGGGAAACGAATTAGGGATGGTGGAAGGGGAGGTGGGCGGGCGGTGGGGGTGACTGGGTGACGGGCACTGAGGTGGGCACTTGATGAGATGAGCACTGGGTGTTA